AAGAGGGGTATTGACCCCAAGTCCACAATCTGTCCCCACAAAAGGGGGGGCAAAAGACGGAACCCAAAAGGGACCATAGAGTGAAGGACCCCTAAGAACGGGTGGCGTTTCCCTTCCCTTCAAACACCATCCACAGAGGGGTTGATGATGTTAAGAAAACCCATATTGTTGCTCTCCTTGACCCCTGAGACCATAGAGGTCGCCTGCTCGTCTGCTTTTGCTTGCTACAAGACATTGCAGTCTGCAAGCGAATTGGAACAAACATGGGCAGCAAAATCAACTGCAAAACATCTAAGCTGAACTGAGCCAATGCAGATCCTTGACCCCTTCGCCATCCACGGGGCTCGAACAGAAGCGGCCGGCGCCTTTCCTTTGAGGCGGGGGGGGGGGCACAAAGAAGCTTGCTATCACCAAATTTCTTGCGAAGAGCATAGCATGACTCATTCCTTTGGCATCTGGGGTATCCGATTTTCTTGCATTGTAGGCCCATTATTCACGGGCTCCCTATCTTCAAAAACTCACATTTGAGGTTCTGTCACGGTGGAAACGTATGGGCGTTCGGCAGCCATGTCCACAGGTAGATCTCCTATGAAGGCAAAAACCCATGCATGAGAAAAGCTGGGTCGCCCATCAGGAAACTCCTTTGAAGGGCAGTGTGATGGCGAAACCCCCCCGCTGCTTTGGGCGCAACCATGTGAAGCCCAAAAAAGGATTTGAAGCCTGTCTTAGGAAGCATCGGTCCTTGGCCTAATGCTTGCTTCGAGAAGCTAGCTTCCTGTGATTCTAACCCGTTCCGTGGTCACCTCAACAAAAACTCCCAATGTTCTTGATATTTACCAAGATGCCCATCCTATGTTGTGCGGGTTGTGGATTGGGGTGCAGTGCAAACTGTGCAAAAAAAGGGGCCCCGTTACCGTGCCATTTTGTGCCAAGGAGTCGCACAATTTGTCAACAACCCTTCGTGTAAGTTTAGTTGACATACGAAGGACCATACTACGAGGAGTCCCCTCTAATTATCATTTCCTCAGAGGGGGAATCACCCTCCGCACTGATCTGAAGTTCACATTCAATGGTCTGTTAAACCTCTTTTGGACCTGCTCCCTAGACGCTTGCACAGCTTCTGGACATCCCGCAAGTAGTGCGCCTCCCTCCTTTTGTGACGCAAATGCATGTTGTAGTATCGAATTGGCATATTGCACCCCTTGCTCGCCAATTCCACATCTCATGAAACTGCGAGCGCGGGCAAATTGCACAAAGGAGTTGGAAAATAAGTTCCACGGGCCCAGTGCCCGAAGAACTTGATCTGTGCCAAAAAGTGAAGTGCGGGATTCTGACTGCTTTCCCGGAAGACTGAGGACCAACGCGATGCTTAAACGAACAAACAAGGTAACCCATTTGTCCAAGACTTCACTTCCATCTGTACACATGCTCAAGGGACATCGCCGACCTTTGAGCCCAGCCCTCTGTGCCGTGCATGCAAAAGACTTTAGGGACTGGCACGTGATTTGATCTGCCAACTGCCATGAGAATCTCGTGCCAAGCACCTCGAAGGTGAAACCATCCATTGGCAAAGATCTATCGGAGGGGAGCAACCACCTTGGTGAGCAGTCAACTCAACAAGCAGAAGCACGAAGCAACAGGACAAGCTGAGGGGGAATTGGAGACCACCAGTGACCCAACGAGGGCCAATACTTCATCAACACACCATCTACAGTATATATATATATATGGGGGGTTGTCTCGACAAAGGGGAATGCTAAGTATCTGGTTTCCCTTTGGTTGCTTTTAAGACCCAAAGGCATGTTGCAAGTCACCAACATTTCAAAGGGGGTCTCAATCTTTGGAACACCCTTTTGGGTGGCCTCTTGTTGAAATGTCTCACAATGTTCAGGGGAGATGTCTCAGACTTTCATCCCATCAGAAATAAGCCCAGGCAGTGTCCCCAACCACCCGGGAACCAATCTTTAACAGCTGCTCCGCTGCTCCGAACCACCCAGAGCGAACTTGTGGGCAGGACCCCAAAGCTTTCACTGTTGAAAGAAGGAAACATAAGGAAGCCAAAAAGAGAAGGAGAAACGCCCCACTGGAGGTCTGGGCTCCGCCAAACTGCCCTGCGGGACCCGCCTCCAGGCCGTAGGCGGGGGAATTTCCTCACGCCACCACCGGCAAATGGGACCTGCCAAATTGCCAAATTGGGTAAACCCTGGTGTCTTGCAAACAAGGTTGGGGTGTAGGGAAGATCTAATCAAATGTAACAAAGTGGGGGGGCGGAGGTTGGAAAACGAGACCAATGGCATGGTTCAGGCACATAAAGGCTGGTGGGACTCTACCACAAGATGCGGAAAGCGGTCTGCCTCTTTGATTCTTTGCTGCTGCGCATCCGCAATTTTCTGAACAGTCATCCGTCGACACCACTGAGTCAGTTCTAGCAAGGGTTCGCTGACAAAACACACTGCAGCTGTCGCGGCAAGGGACAAAGCCATGGCCAAACTCCTTCATAGATTCATAGCATTTCATACCATTTGAGTGCACATACACATTTTTTGCCTGAGAAAGATCAAAACAAGCCAACAGCCCTCACGTCAAACTGTAGCGCATGATGCACTCGTCGGGTTTCACTCTGCAGGCGCAAACATGAATCTGACCAGTCAGGATCCCTTGAATACCAAGATGACAAACACATTGACGTGAGGAGGGAATATGTTTCGCTGCCAATCCAACGGAGACGGTGTGTGGAATAGCACCTTTGCTGTGATTCCTGGGCTTCACATCACAGTACTGCTTGATCATGACAGAGGATTCCCTCGGCCACTCAGAGGAAGTGGCAACTCAAGACAATCAGTGTTCAACAATGGTGCAGAACGCTCTCGAGAAAGCCATACAAACTTGACCACTTCCCAATAGCTGGCTTGGTTTCCTTTAAACTAGCCTCGCAAAGCAAACCCTCCCCCCAAATTGCCAAAGGGAAACTGCCCTTCTAATTTCTCAAGACGGCGCCAAGAAAACCACACGCCAACCAGCCTATATCGAACGGGGCTCCAGGGCGAAAGCATCGGAGCCGCCTGACCAAGGCAAAGGCCCTGAAGGAACGTGGCAGTGGATGCAAGATGTTTGAAGTTAGCAACCGTTTGGGGTTGTTCTTGTGGAATCGACTCATTCTTGGGTCCCCCTATCTTGACGAATCCAATCCTTCCCCTTGTGGAGGTCACCTTTGGCAATGAAATCCCTTCTCAATTAGAATGTACTTCAACACCAAATTGAGTCATGATCATGGGGGCACGATGTTTTGCCAAACTGGTACTGGGTCCAGGTGCTAAGGACCACCCAACCCTGGCAAATGGTCGCAACCGCCCCGGCTTTTTCTTTGGATGTGAACTTTGGCTGGAAAGGACCCTTTGGTTGCACCCACGCACCCACGTTTAGCGCCACATTAACATTTCAGAGCCATTTCGGTTTGCTCAAAACAAGCAGATCCCAAAATTCAAATGAGGGTACCGGTTGGCAAGGGGGAACACAAGAACGGCAACCATTTCTGTGGGGTTCCGGATTTTGAGACACCTCAATTTGGGCTAAGATCAAAGGAGTCTACATAGACCAACAGCAATTAATCAAAAGGGCAGAAAGACTTCCGTGTCTTTTAATGACTGGGATGGTCTCGACCCAGTTGTTGTCACAGTTTGACCCTCAAGCCGTTTTGCGGACCCAAACGCCAGGGGGGTCAGACAAACAGGTCGTGAGACAGAAAGGCTCCGTTTGCCTGGATGGCGGTCGCCTGGATTGCGGTCGGGTACTTCGACCTCACAAAGGTCTGATCAACCAGCGGAAATACGCCCGGAAGTCTGCGAGCATGTCCCCTTTGAATTGGGGTATGAAGCTACAAAGGGCGTGTTTTCGAGTCCCATTTTCTTGGGGCACGTATCGAAGCCAGAAGCTAGGACAACGCAATTATCCCCGAAACGGGAAAGTTGCCCCAAATCCGAACCGCTCCCGAAGTGACTTCTAGCGACAAGCTCAAAATGTCACATGTTGATTCCATTTTTTGGTCATTCAAAATTCCCAGCTGTGGGAATCCATGGCGTTCTTGGGAACAAGACATTCTGTTTGGACCATGGACCCAACTCTGAAACATGGGATATCCCCAAAACTATGGGGGTGGCTTTCCTTGAGGGAGGATCCAGGGATTGCAAGCCAAGGTGCAGCATGCTCGATGCTTTGAAGGACATAGACGTTGGCTGGCGCCATGAGGGCAAGCCCCACCGTGCGGATTGAACCACAAAGAATTTGTGGCTCCCCATCCGAAGACCTGGACATCTTGGATTCCTTCTCCGAAAACCTCACCCTTCTCATGCCTGCTGATTGGCGGATTTGACCATGTTTCATGTTTGTGAGGCCCATCGAACCATGCCCACCCAAGTGCGAGAACTGTTTTTGCCTGCTGAGGTCAGGGTGGTCTACCAAGAACGTTTCTTGAACAACCCATCCATTGCATAAGCTGGTATACTCTCCAGAAAATTGACCGCATGCGTTGGGGGTTCCCTCTTCATCTGAAGGAAGCGAGAACTAGACATAGGTCTTGCTACTAAGGGTACAAACAAACACAAACTTAAAAAGCCGTGGGCTTGCCGGCTTCTGCCACGAGCCGCCCCACACAAGAACATGGCAAGACAAGACAGTCCACTTCATACAGAGTTGCGTGAAGGAAAGGTTCAAGCTTGGGGAGAAGCACAGAACATCAAGATCAGTTTCTGGCGTCCAAGCCGAGCCCTTCCGCCTGAGCAGGCCAAACTGCTGCCTGCGGCATGAAAGACCTCATGCCTCGGAGAGAGCGGCTCCAAATCACCCCCCCAGAAGCAAGGTGATCCTTTCTGGAAACCTTCTCCGGGGGAAAGAAACAAAAAAACGTATGCCCCCGCCCCCCCCAAAAAAAAAATACAAAGCTCAAGTGATATCCCCAACAGCATGCGGTGCTCGCAGAACCTCGTGGAACCCTCGTGGAACCCTCGTGGAACCCTCGTGGAACCCTCGTGGAAGCCTGGTGGAACCCTGGTGGAACCCTGGTGGAACTCTGGTGGAACCCTGGTGGAACCCTGGTGTACCCCTGGTGAAACCCTGGTGGACTCAGGGCCGCCCCGCACCACCTCGGAGCCTATCTGGGCTGAGACCCCAAAGCTTTCAGCTGTTGGGGGGCGGGGGAGAAAACAAGTCGTCTTGGAGGTATGCCAAACGGTCCCAACAAAGGTGGCAAACACACCACCCTGCCCCCAAAGCAAACCGGTCTCGGCAGTTGAGTTGCTATGACCGAAACAGAGAAAAAGCGGGGTCCTTGGTCATTCTAGGGCCAGAAACCACCACGCTGTGTGTGCCACGGAATCAAAGGCTCCGGCCAGCGACAGATTGTCCCAAGACCTCGGTGCGCAATCACGGCTGATCTTATCCCACACGTGCAGCAACAAGTCGTAGCTAAAATTGATAGCAGGATGAGGTTTCTCGGTGACCCGAGGAACATCTTTCGACTTCTCTTCGGGTCGAATCACATGTCCCAAGCCAGCGGCCATGGGATAGCCTCTTCCCCAGGCATGAGCCCAAGCCTCGGAGCAAATGGAAAGGCATAGGACTTGGAGAACCTTCTTGCAGGTTCTGAGCAAAGGACTCTAATAACCTGGGTAGGGGGGAAAAATAGGCCCTGTGCAAAAGTGGGTTGATGTCTTGTTATCCTGAGTTGAAATAATACCAAGCCGATGGGAAACAAAAACAATAAGCTCAGGTAACATCCCCAACAGCATGCTGTGCTCTGTTTAGTGCTCGCACCACCCCGCAGCCCTCGCAGAACGTCGTGGAACCCTCGTGGAACCCTGGTGGAACTGTGGCGGAACTGTGGTGGAAATTTCGTGGAACCTTACCTCAGGTCCGCTCCGGACGAACCCGGAGCCTATCTGGGCTGAGACCCCAAAGCTTTCAGCTGTTGGGGGGGAAAAAAAAAACAAGACAACCTTTAAGCATCCATTTGGGGGTCCCTCGTATTTGGGAATCAACCATTTCTTCTTCCTGAATAACATCTGTGTCTTCCTGTTCGAGGAGCCATGTGCCATCTGGCAGAACTCCCCAGTGGGAGGCTGATGATGGTTTAAAGCAGATGTGTTCACCAGAGCCACAATCAAACCTGGGTAGTGAGAAGGAGAAAAAAGACTGGAGAAAAGTAGCACCTATTTATGGCTCGGGATGCTTCTGCGGGAACACACGCCCACGAAGTTCAATGTAAAACCATTGTCTCCGAAGCATCTAAGGAGCCGTTATGGTCTACCCAAAATCAGGCATCTAATCACTAATCTTTGTCTGTCCATTCGCTTGATTGCAGCACACAACTCGCAGCATGTGAGTGTTTCTCAAATGGTGGACCCTTCTTTTGGTTGGTAATGAGAGCCCTTCAGTGGGCATCATCGACATTCAGGTCACCAATCCCGCAACCACTACAAAGGGACCCTGTTGCAACAAGGGAAAACAACCCCAGCTCTCAACATTCGCCCAAACTTGCAAAAACTAAAATGGGCGGTTTGACTTAAATATCCGCTTGTTGTTGAAGGATTTCCCTTTGCAACTGGTTCCCCTTCAAAACCCAACCATCTCAAGCCCCCGTGCCGAAAAGAAAACTTCCAAGGCCCGAGCCCCCGGTGGGTCGGGCGCCGCCTGCGTCTCGCAGCTCGCCGCGCCCACCATCCTCGAGCCGAGGAGATCCGCAAGCCACAGGCCACCGAGACGGCAGTCTCTAACCCTCGATTACCCCCTTCGAATAAATCCGCCGACCCGGTGCCTGGTTCATTCACGCTAGTTTGGTGTATATGTGTAAGCAAGCCTGATGAGGTTGGTGCGCGAGGTTGATGGCGCCGCTGGCACGCCACCAAAAAGGGGGGGGAAGTGCAAAAAGGAGGGTGGAAGGAGTTCACACCCGAGCTTGGGTGGGCAGCCCCGCGAAGAAGGTCAGAAGTCTCCCCGTTTAGAATTTGGAGGGATAAAGAGAAAGTCCGAGCACTGGTCGGTCTTAGCGACCTGGAGCTCGCTGTTGATCCTACGCAGTTCGGGTGGGTCAGCTCATCTGTCCGCTGTGACTAGCCGCCAGGCAGCAGCCTCGTCTGTGAAGAAGGAGGACCGGATTCTTCGATTCCAGGCTGAGCATTCACGGATCCTCATCTTTGAGGCAAGAGGTCCTGGCTCACCCGGGGGGGCTCAGCCTTCCTCCACCCCTGATTGCCAGGGCCGTGTAGAAGACCCTGTTGCTGCTGCGGCTCCGCGTCTCCAATGCCAACCGCTGATCCACCAAAATGGAGAACTGATTAGCGTTTGGCGTGCCAGGTCTTTCCGATGTCACACATCCAAAGGGGAGAAAAGCTCTTCTGCAAGGCTCCCAGAAAAAGCGCTGGCCATGTTGTGGCTGGAAGGAGCGCTTGGTTGCTGCTTGGCTCCTCGAAGGTGCTGGACAAGGCCAGGTCGGCTCGCACTGCCGCACCAGCTCCTTCCGTACTTGCTGCTCATCAAGCAAGGCCACCGAAAATACGGATGCCATGGAAGGAATGTTGCGTGAGCAGGGGAAAAGCTTTTCAAAAAGAGAGTCAATTTCTCAGGATGCTTGAGCCAAAATGGCACATGCCATTTTGGTCAGGCATTTCTCACGCAAGCCATGTTTCCACATGTTCCGACATTTGACAAAGTATAACATATGTCCCTTGAGAGGGGAAACACGTCGGCTGGATTTCTGGATTCCTTCTGGATTCCTTCTGGATTCCTGGATTTTTCCTGGATTCCTGGATTCCTGGATTCCTGGATTCCTGGATTCCTGGATTCCTGGATTGCTGGATTGCTGGATTCCTGGATTGTTGGATTTCTGGATTGTTGGATTACCATTTCTGGATTCCTGCATTTCTGGATTTCTGGACCCTCCCCCCCCTCCCCCCCCCCCAAGTTTCTCTTTTGTTCTGCGCTTGCTTCACAGCATTCCACTCACGATGCAACCGCCTGCCGTAAGTTGGCTCAAGGCCTGCGAATACTTGTAGCTATCTCAGATAGAGAAAACAACTGCACTTTGCTGATTGTGGTGCATAGTATACAAATGTAAAACGAAACGAACAGATACACATCATGTCCAAATTCTGGAATTGTCTCCTGTCATTGTGGCAAGACGCGAAGCCGAAATGGAAAAGAAGAGCCATCAAATTCTGTATGTGGGACATTGCAAAATAATACTTTCTCGGCAAGCTTAGAATGCAAAGGGATGGACAGGTGGAGTCTCTCTTACTTCATCCCGCTTCTTTTGTCAAATTACTTGTTTTCTAAAGAAAGCCTTCTCAGCCCTATGGGGCCGGCGGAACCAGGCCGGAGGCCATGCAATATGATACGTAAAATAGTTGCACTACGCCAGTCTTGAAGGAGCTTTCGGATTTCGTGCCATCATGGGATTGTGCGTCCGGGAGCGAAACTCTGGGGATCCACGCCCGGTCTCCTTGAGAATATTCTCAGGACCCTCGTAGTGGGCCACCATGTCGTGCACCTCAACCATGACAAATTCCGTCAACCCCGACAAAAAGGCCACATGTTTGTTCACCATTATGTTTGGGTAGCGGTCGTTTCAAAGGTAAAAAGTGCCTTTTCTCCTGGTCCAGGTTTGTGAGAAATCCTTTCTCAGATACCAGAGTGAGTTGTTTGTCCGAACGACAACTTCTGGAGGAGGGACCCAAATTGCCAATGGAGAAACCCCTTGCCCCTCAAATCCCGACTTCCACAACCATGCGACCATGAATTTGCAAGAAGTTCATTGCTGGCAAGGGCACCGCATCCTCCGGGAGTTGACGCAGGCGCTTCTCGGGAGGAACCACCTGCGTGGCTCTCAGAGAAAACAAAACGAAGCCCCAAGTACGCTGAAGTAAAATGCAGAGACGACCCGGAACACAACGCCATCCGCATGTGGACGAAATTGATCCACATCTTGTGGCACGTGCGCGGTCGGTTTCCCCGCAGCTTTCGCGTCCCTCCCCTTTAAACATCACACATCCAAAAAACTCACATTAGAAATAAGAGAGATCATATGAAGAGGAATGTAACTAGGGACCGCTTGGTGGACAACATCAAGATGGGGATCAGATTGATGTCCACCGCCCCACTTTTGGGGGGTTCGCTATTGAAGATAGTCTGTGGAAAGCCAGGAAACCATCCCCGCCTCTATTCGCATGTGGGGCTCCACTGGTTTGGAGGCGCTCCGATTGCGGTAGCTCGCTGGCACCTCTGCGCGAGCCCTAAAAAGTCACTACTAAAATAGTCCAGGCCTAAAAGGCCGTGAATCAGGAACCAGTTGGGTGTGTCAGAAGAGGGGGGCCCAATAAAATGTGCTTGTTCTTTTGGTCTCGCTGCAACCAACTCGAACAGGGTACCCTCGGAAAAGCACGGACCCAGTTGGACCCTAAGCGGGCTCCAAACACATCACGCCTAAAGTAAACTCATTCAGGATGCGATGTTAAAGCCACTGAAGACAGAAACTTTGGGGAGCCCTGAAGAATGTTGGAGAAATACAAATGGGTTGCCAACCTTTCAGAGTGGTTTTGCCACGACATATATATATATATATAACCACCTTTCAAGTGGGTTTTCGCCTCGTACACCGCGTTCCGCGCTCCCAACCTGAGACATGGGAGCACCACACAGCGCTCAGCCCACGCGCTGAGTCGGCAGCATTCGAAGGAAGTGCGCGGGCGGCTTGCGCTGGCAAGTCTTGTAGCCCTCCTGGTGAGAAGTGCTCACTCTTGGATGCTCGACTTACCCTTCAGGCTGGTTTCCATGTGTGCCTTCCCACGTGATGTCCAAAGGTACTTCAATTCCCTGCACCAATAAACCACCAAACAAATGCCAGGAGCAACGCGGCCTGAATGATTTCTGCGATGGCCGGACCATCGTCAGCGAGCCTAGCTCGCATAGAATCGCAAGTTTTGTAGCACAAGGCTCGATGCCCGTGGCCCTCAAGCTGCAACTTGCAAGCCAGCTGCTTGGCCTCCCCAAAAGCAAGCTAAAGATTCAAAGGCCTCTGTGCACCCGCTGTAGGCCGCACTCTGTGTCAGGCCAGGCCACGCAACAAGCCAAGTGGTCCATTACAAATCCAATGTTTGGCATAAAACCAGACCGAATCCAGAGACGTAAGACTGTCAAAACTAGCGACGCCTCCAGTGAGTTTCGTAAGTTCCAAGGACCCGACAGTTTCCGTTCAAAATCTTAACCCAATCAGGCCGCGGCCCGCCGACCCAGCTCCCGCCGCGAGTCTGCTTGGAAGCGCCAGGCACGCGCCGCCGGTAGTCCACCCCTGGGGCGATGGTGCCAGGGTCGTCTCACTTTCATTGATGGGCCAAGACATCCGAACTTCTTGCAGCCGCCTAAAAATTTCCAAAGTCAAGAACTGTTTTCAGGGTTGGTTGCTTACGCCGTGGGAAGCAAGGAGTTCTGGGAATGGTGGGTTAGCAGGCACGTTGGCGTGTGTACAGCCACATGCACGTGTGAGAGCGTATGGATGCGATGGACCTAACCCTAAGGCCAGCACTTCGGCATCATGAACTTTTGGATGGGAGCAAAACCATCTATATTGTGTATACAGTACATATATATATATATATACATACACTCCCATCGGATGGTCACATGTCAAAGATAAACTCGCCTCTTCTGAAACTGTTCTCTCTAGATAGATATTCCAATCCGTGTTAACATAACATATGTCTCACATTATCATACTAAGCATCAGCAAAGTCGATCTCGCTGCCGCTTCATTTAAGCCACGTCTTATGCATTTCATTAACATAAGTGTTCTTGTGGCAAAACATAACACATCACTTACGAAATAGAATAAGCACATACAAAAAGTTCCAAAATTACGTGTTTGCTTTAAAACAGGACAAAAGCCGGAAACAATTAACATATGTTTACACCAATATCTAGACCGCTGAATCTTCAGCTCCAACGCCTTGAGTTTTTGCAGACTTAGCAACCCAAACAGCTGTTTCATGCGTGCAGTTTCGACCATTTCTTCTTTAAAGAAATCAAGGGACGTCAATTCACTTCTGTAGTTTCAGCTTGTTGAACCACGCGTCGATGTTTATGAGTATATGCGTACACAAACAACAATGTACAAACGCTGGCAAAATACCCTCGGGGGGATGTCTTTTTCAAGTGAAGAAGTACTTGAGTAAATACATGAACACTTAGATATGTATATATGCATACTCCAAAAGATACATACTGCTAGAACCATGCTGTTCTGCCTTCGAGCGGCACAACACAGAGTCTGCTTTGCAGTGCAACGCCCAACAGCTCGACAAACGATGAGAAAGGTGAAACACTACACTAAGTTTAACAAAAGGAACGCATCGGCAAAAACTTCTAAGGAAACAACCTAGGGGCATATTGAAATAGATATAGGGCACATTTAACGATAAAAGAATAGCGGAGAAAGTAAGGACGACCAAGAAACACGGAGATTCAAGCATAAAGTAAGAATAAGGAAGAAAAAACGTAAAGACAAGTCACTGCATCTAAGAAAAGAAGCAACGAGTGGCTGAAAGATTGATAGTACGAATAAACAAACGCGTCATCTCTGAAACATATGGAAGGCGAGAGAAGTAGATGGTTGCGTACGTCAAACATATTCAAGAAGCGTGTTGGAATACAACCAACGCGCGGGAGAATGAAAAAATTGATGAATCAGCTGAAGAATGAAGGAAACAATACAAAGATGGAGTGAATGAAGACGAAAGAAAAACAAAAGCAAACAGAATAATAACAATAAAATGAGACAACTGCAGATAAAAGGACAGGAATAGAGGTAAGAATGAGAAAAAAAAGAATTGCCATAAGCTGGATACAAATTGAAAATGTGAATCATGGCGAAGAACCTAACACAAACTGAAGCGAGCTGAAAGTCGAACTCTCACAAAATACATGGGAAGAACCGTGGACAAGTGCTCTGAACAACAGCAAACAAGTGAAAAAATGAATGCATGCATGCATGCATAAACAAATAAAAATAAAATATAGACAGTGAGTGAGTGAGTGAGTGAGTGAGTGAGTGAGTGAGTGAGTGAGTGAGTGAGTGAGTGAGTGAGTGAGTGAGTGAGTGAGTGAGTGAGTGAGTGAGTGAGTGAGTGAGTGAGTGAGTGAGTGAGTGAGTGAGTGAGTGAGTGAGTGAGTGAGTGAGTGAGCGAGCGAGCGAGCGAGCGAGTGATGAATGAATGAATGAATGAATGAATGAATGAATGAATGAATGAATGAATGAATGAATGAATGAATGAATGAATGAATGAATGAATGAATGAATGAATGAATGAATGAATGAATGAATGAATGAATGAATGAATGAATGAATGAATGAATGAATGAATGAATGAATGAATGAATGAATGAATGAATGAATGAATGAATGAATGAATGAATGAATGAATGAATGAATGAATGAATGAATGAATCAATGAATCAAT